AGAGCACATACCCTCCCCAGTGTCTATCACCCAGTCACCCCATCCCTCCCACCCCACCCCCCACTCCAGCAACCCTCAGTTTGTTTCCTGCAATTAGAATCTTTCACTATTTTTTCTTTGAGCTTTTGATTTTGTTATCATGCTCGATTTAAATCTTTTACTCATCTGGAATTATTTTGTAGTAAGGTATAAGGAATCTAACTTAGTTTTATTCCAGATTTTTAAAAAATTCCCCAGGACTCTGTGAGAGAGCCAGATTGTGTTGTTTGATTTTTCAGCAGGTACTGAGAAGGTTCTGCCTGGGAAGCTACTTGAAGATGACAGTGTTTGACAGAAAGAATTAGAAGGGCAAATCAAGACAGATTCTAGATGACTTACTAGATGAATAGTTCATTGTTTTTACATATCATGTAATTTGTTGATAGCATTTTTAATAATACTGGGTTTGATTATGATTAGAATATTAGATTAATAGTATCTCAATAATAAGATATTACTATTACTACTATGATAATACTGATAAGAAAATTGAAAAGCAAACTAGATGAATATAAAAAGGAGGTGGATGCATCAGCAAATCTTTTGAGTACCTACTGTTTGGGAGAAGGTATGAAATGATAGTGTACCTGTGCCTTAGAGGATCTGGGATTTTGGCAATTTGCTACTGAATTAAAGTTTGAGAAATTAAGTTTTCTCCAGATGCTTTCAGCACTATACATATAAAGCAAACAAGGTATTTCATCTTCTAATTGACAAGGGCAAACACAGAAATAAGTCTTTGTAAGACTTCTAGTGTCTAAGTTTCTTAAAATAACCTGAAAATAAGATCTGGCTGAGACAGAATAAATAATGTGGATCCTATAAATGAGCTGGGAAAGCTCCCATCCTCTGATGTTTAAGCAAGAAGAGAATGGAGGTTATGAGTAAAGATGTACTAGCTTTAAAAAATAAACAAACACAAGTGATTAAATTTATTTCCCAGCTGAAAAGTGTCTTCTAGAAAATATTGTCCTCAAGTGTCTATTTTAGCTGGAAAGAAATGCAGATAATATTTTGTGGGATCTTAGGGAAACTTTCCATTTTACTGCGAGGAAGTATACTATGAAGTATGAAGTGTACTATGTGTATGTGTTTAATCCTTTCGTTTGCATAATTGTGATTGTTACCGTCTTTTGGCTTGAAATATTTATTGGCTATGACTTGTGTTTTGAAGAATAGCTCACTTCTGTTTAGATAAAATGTAAATTACGTGTACTTTCCGGGGAGGGAGCATTTTGATAGATAAATATTGCCTTGGTGTAAATGCTCCCATGTTTCATAATTTTTAAGTTACCGTATCATGACAGCCTGAAGCATTTGAAAGAACCGTGTTCTCAGAAGCCTTTGCTCTGTGGTCACACTGGCACCTTGAACTTTCCCTCTCCTGGCACTAAGGCAACTTCTTGCTCCTTCTGTTTTTGTTTATGTTTTAATTCCAGTCAGTTAACATACAGTGTTTGTTATATTAGTTTCAGGTGTACAATATAGTGGCTCCTTCTGTTTTAAAAGCAGCTCCTACTTAAAACTTGTCCTATAAAGCATCCTCCACTGTCCTTAGGTAGCTGTGAAACCGTTGACTTTGCTGTATAGTGTTTAGTTGAAGCCACAGGTACTATTTCCTGTCCAGCCAAAGATATTTTACACAGATCCGGTATAGAGCACTGTGGCCAGCACATTTTAGTTAAATTTAATAAGAACTTGTTTTTAATTTCCAAGACTAATTTATATTGGTTTGCTCTGCCATTGTTGTTACTTAGCACACTCAGCTACCCTACCTCTGTAAAGTCCTGCAGTCTGGGCTTGCCATGACTCCTTTAACCGGCCCTTGTGCTTCATGGGGCAGTGCTAGGATAGGAATGGGCCAAGAGCATGTGTCTCTGGAGTTGTCTTAACTTACCTTCACTTACTGTGATTGGAAGAGAGAACATGCAAGACAGAGTCCCCATCTTGTCTGCCCTTCACACCAGAAAGCCTATGTTTCATACAGTGGAACAGGCTCACACCTTCCGTGTTTCTCATTGAATAATTTACTCATCCCTTTTAGGTAGGGAGACTTGAAGATTTTAAAGAATACCTTACTTTTTCTGCCCCCCTCCTTTTTTTTTTTTTTTTTTACCATTTCTCCCTGTAAACTATATCTTTGAGCATGGTTTTTTTCTTTACCTTTTGTATTGCAGCTTCAGAGCCCTCTGCCCTCCCAGACTTCTTTATCACCAGTGACAATGCTGGTGCTCTTTTCTCACTTTTCTTCTATGAACTCTTTGATTTGGCCTCAACGACAGCCCATTTCTTTTAGTCTCAGCAGTGCCGGATCTTCTCTGGTTTCCTTCTGCCTCTCAGGATTCTTGCTGGAGTTCTCTGGTTCCTTGAAGGTGTGACTGTCTATTGGTAGTTCTCAGCTCTCAAACAAGCTTTGGCTGTTTTGAGTCGTGCGTTCAAGCCTCTTTCTTCAGCTACACTCAGCGAGTTCCTCTTGAGTCCGTGTCCGTGGTGCTGATGGGCCCCGTTCTCACTCACTGTCAGCAGACCCCTTCCCTGACCTTCTGTCCCTTCCCTGACGCTTGGTCATCAGTAGCCTGTCTCTCGCATTTCTTCACAATGTCCGTGATTCCTTTTGCCTGCTTTCTAGGCTAGAAACTTGAGGATATCTTAGATGTTTCCCTTTCTTATTATACTAGTCCTTCATTTCTTTGATCCTGTCATTTCTTTGAAATGCCCATCAGAGTTTTTCCTTTTCCATATCCTTCATGCACGTGCTGATGTGTCATGATCCGTATCCTTGCTACTCTGGTCAGCCTTTCCCCAGTGGTCTCCCACTTAATCACCTTATCTCTCTCAGAGCCCTGCACGCCACAGCCTACCTAGCCTTTCTGGTGGACTTCCTATCCTGCTGAGTACTCCCAGCTCTGCACAGTACCCTGTTGACTCCCTCACTCAATGCCGTGGTCATTCCTGTGGTCTTGCTGCTGTTTACAGATACCTATACCAGGAATGGCTCATAGCATCCCCAAGTGGGTGACTTCTGCCAGCATCAGAGAAAACAGATGGAGATCTCTACGAGAGCAGGCTTTCCGCATTCCATCATTTTCTTAGGCCCGACCTACAGTCATACAGAGGAAGCTCCTTTACTTCTCTCTCATGTTGCCTCCTTATAGATTCCAGACTGATGACACTAGAGTTTTGTAGGAACCCAGTGGCTATTTGTATTAGAAGACATATTAGGATTTGATAATAATTTTCTCAGATTTGACGGATGAATCATTGGGGACTGCTTATGCAAATAAATATATTCTCTTTTTTCAGTAATCACTTTGAGAGTTTACTTTTTTTTTTTGAGAGAGAGAGAGCGAGCGTGCATAAGGCAGGGGGAGGGGTGGAGGGAGACAGAATCTTAAGAGGGCTGCATGCCCAGTGCAGAGCTGGATGAGGGGCTCCGTTTCACGACCCTGAGATCATAACCTGAGCCAAAATCAAGAGTCGGATGCTTAACTGACTGTGCCACCCAGGCGTCCCGAGAGTTTGCTTTTAGTTTTTGATTATTTTTTGATCAAGAAGGAATAAGAGTTTTAAATTAGTTGATTAATGGAATTACAATATGAAAAATCATTACTTACTTTACTGAATCATGTCTTTTGTTTTCTTTTTTCCAAGCCTTAATTCCAGACACTCCAGAGATCTTGAATTTGTCTGCTGATTTCTCAACTTCCACATTACACCTAAAGTGGAATGACAGAGGCTCTGTTTTTCCATATCATTTAAATGTCATCTGGGAAATTAAAATTCTACGTAAAGAAAATATGGAAATTGTAAAATTAGTAAGTTTGAACCAAAATAGATTTTTTTTTTCCTGTGACATTAAAGAAACCAAGTAATTTTTAAAAGATTTTTAAGGTGGTATCAGTGAACTTTTATATTGTTAAGGAAGTAGATCAGATATCCTTTCAGGGTTCATTAAAAACTATGTGCTATCACTCCAATCACCTATTAAAATAATGTATAACTTAAAATAATGTATTACTTACCAATTATAGTAAATTTAGGAAATTAAGGGAGGAATAATCCATGATTCCACCACTTGACCACAGTAAATGTTATTTTTGTGTTTCTGTCCAGCTTTTTTTATGTGCATGTTTTCACATAAATGAAATAAATGTATACATATAATTTACTATTATTTTTACTTTTGTCTAATACTATAAACATAAAAACGTTTTGAAACATATTTAGTCATAGTAATTGTAGAGAAATTTTGTATAAGCTAAGCTTGAATTTATCTGAATCTGAAATAACGTTCTTACTCTTATGCTTTTTTTCTCTTATTTTTTTAAAAATTTTGTTGCTGAATGGATTCCTTATGATCTGTCTCAGTTTTGTCTTAATCTAAAGGAGAATGGGGAATAGTAGTGAAATGTTTTGACAGCGGGTATGTGGGAATTCCCTTTTTTGTCCTTTTACTCTTTTCCCCCTCAATGGATTTGCAATACGCTTAGTTAGAGATTTAAGAATTAGAAGACTATCTCATGATTTTACGGTTATTTGCCCAAGTACATAGGTAAGCCAGATTGTAAAGATAAAAAATAGGATGACTCTGTATTTCACAGTTGTTGTCTCGGTTTTCCTGTCTGACGCTGTGTATTACATTCCCAAGTGAGTGGCAGCCGTAACTGTAGCTAGCGTGCACGTGCGCGCAGTGCTTCCGTTGCTGATGGTGCTCTAAAAGCTCCCTATGTGGTCGTTCCGTGCATCCTCACCACAGACCTGCGAGGGGGCCACTGTCAGCATCATCCCCGTTTTATAGATGAAGGTGCAGAGACACAGGAAGACATGAAGTGGTGGAGCCAGGACTCTGCGCTCTTTCTTAACCACTGCAGTTTCTGTTACAAAATAGATATATTTGTTTTTGTACAAGATGCCTTCCCTTCCTTTACACCTGTGCAAATTGAAGGTACTCTTCAAGACCGAGTCAAATCTTACCCTTATTTTAAAGCCCATCCCGATTTCCTCAGCCTAAAATGCCCTCTCTTTTCTTGAATTTTAATGGCAGTTCTTCCCTGTCAATCTAATTTGGAGTTAGCTTTGACACAGCTCTGCCACAGGTGTCTTAAAACTTTTGCTTATCTAAAATTGCACTGTGTAGCTCTTTATGATGGCCTGACATTTTGTGCTGGGTGGGTTACCACTTAGTGGCTTCGGGTATCTTCCCCAAACCTCCTTTTTCTCATTTGTGAAGTGGTGTCAAGTATTTACTTTAGTAAATGATACCGATAGCTATAAAGCTGCTAAACACCTACTAGTTGTCATTACTTCCTTTGGGGACTAAGGGATGCTAGAATAAGAGGGCTACTCTTAGAAGTGTAAGTGAAATTAAGCATAAAGAAATGGAAATACTATTTTTAAGGTATGCTGTAACTCATTGCCACAAGATGCATCACAAGATGGCAGTGGCAAAGTAGTACTTTTGGGGATCTGATCTTTGAAGAAGAATCTTTATATGGGGAAATACAGCACGAGGCCAGAAAAATAGAAATAGAACAAATGAATTTTTAAAAAGTGAAACATGAGAGGGCAAGTGATGCAGGTCTGTAGTAAAATGTGACCTTTCTGTTTGTAATTATATGTTATTAATACCATTATTTAAGGCAGAGTTGCTTATGACCTGTCACTTCGCTATTATTTTGTGATTGTGTAAGAATCAAGACTACTACACGTTGGTGTTTCAATTAGAACTTGACGGTTTCTGCCCGTCGCCTCACATATGGGCATGGAAGCTGTGCACTGCAGGGACCAGGATAGGAGTGACACCTGGGAGCTTTGCAGCACCCTCAGCCCCTCCCATTTTGCTCTCCATGTAAACAACAAGTTTCAGTTCTTTTAGCTGTTTCTTTTATTATGTATTTCCGTTGTCCAGATAGCATGCTTATGTTGCTCTTCCTTAATTTTTCTTTTCAGTTTTGAGCAGTGTTTTATTGTAACAGTGGGAGATGAGAATTTAGTCCCCTCACCTCCTGGCCTGGGCACGCACACTTGCATGCTGGCGTGCTTGCTCTCTCTCTCTCTCTCTCTCACACATTTCCCATCTTTTTCATGTATTCTATCATTCTGTGATAATGTTTGGTAGACTGGCATTCATTGTATTATAGTTATATAAACACTATCCACAGCTAAACCAAGTAGCATATACTATTATTTTCCTTTTTGGGGGCTACAGCTTCTTGTATTGTCTTGTATTTTTAGTTTTATTTTTGTGCCCCATTAATTCAATCCTAAATTCTCTCCAAGTTGTATGAATCTCCTGTTGAAATGTTCAAACACACTAGTATTTTATCAGCTAGATGTTTGTGAATAGCTCTCTCTGAGGCCTTCTGGCTTACCTCTCAGCCCTGCTTACATAGGGTTCACATAGGTATAATGTTGGTAGAGCAGGAGTGTGGTAAATAGCTGAGGACTCTTGTGGCCAGAGGTTTCTCAGGAGCTCCAGCTGTCTCCACTCCTACCAGCCAACCCTAGGTTTAAAGAGATTAATACCTAGGTCTACCCATAAGCCATTTAGGACAAATCTCTGTGTTTTCCTGGCACATTTCTTAGGAAGCTGTGGACCAGGGGGTCTCCATCATCATCCAGGGGATTCCTTTTACCTTTTTCTTGTGATGGATCCTCTTTTTCCTGAATTCTTCCTCTTATTTCCTCATTTTGGTGGAAGCATATGTTCTAGTAGGTATTTGCTATTTATTATAAATATTCTGTGCTACCTATAATGGTAGCTTGCAGATATATTTTATTTTTTTTTTAATTTAAATTGGTCGCTAACAAAATTTAAAAGACTGTCAATTCCAAATATTGAGAAGATGCAGAACAATTGGAACTTTCATACACTTCTGATGGGAGTGTAAAATGCTACCTGATGAATTTATTAAGATGTGACATTTCTAAAAATGTCTATTTTGCACTCATTCATGATTGCTACTTTAGCTGGGTATAGAATTGTAGGTTGGGGAATTTTCTCAAGATTTGGAAGACATTGTTCCATCTGCTTCTTCTTGTGGGTCTGTCTTCCTTTGTTGTACTAGACAGTCATTGGGCTCCTTTCAGTCTGAAAACACATGTCTGTCAGCTTGGGAAATTTTCTTATTTTATGTCTTATGTCTCTGATTTCTTCATATCTGTTCTCTCCTTTTTAAATTTTTTTTCCTTACAGAAATTCTCCAGAAATTGGACCTTCTAGACTGGTCCTCTAATGTTCTTAATTGTTCCTACTTTCCATCTGTAATTTTATTTTGCTCTATTTTCTGAACAGTTTTTCTTAAACTTTATCTTGCTGCTATTGAATTTCTACTAATAGATTTTTTTTTAAATGTACAAGAGATCCCTTTTGTCTGTTCTGTTTGTTTTATGGATACAATATCTCATCTCTGAGGATATCAGTTATTTAATTTTTTTTCTTTCTGTATAGTCTGTTTCTTCGAGTTGCTTTTTTCTTTGTTTTGATCTTTGACTCTCATATTAGAACTTTTTCTCCAATTTCTGGTCATCTTCATTGCTGCTCACATTTAAGTGAGTGACTGTTAAATTTTTTTTTTTAAATCTAATTGGAACTTTTGTTTGCCGTCCAGGGACTTTTGACTGGGGCTTCATTATAGGTGATTAGGATGGGCTATCTAGTTGACAAATCTTTTTTTTTTTTTTTTACTTTATTAAAATACTGATTTTATTTCACATGTATATTTTTGTCTCCCCACCATTTCCATTTGTCTGACCACCACCACTACTACTATGTCCTATCATAACATTCCATACATACTTAAAACCAAGCAAAGGGTGGAGTTCCATCTTTAAAAACTAAACAGGCATTTTGGACAACACATTCTTGGCAATGGAACCTGGACAACATTTATCAGGCACGGTAGGGAAAGTTCTCACTCTGTATTATAAAAAGAACAGCCAGATATCAACTGTTACAGAAATGAAATAAGACGGAAAATTTTAACAAACTGTTTAAACTATTTTCTTAAAGAGACTTCCTCCACTGCCAGAGATCTTGAATAGCCTCTTGGTCAGTCATCCAGAATCAATTCTTCACATAATTGATGAACTTGGCTTCCACTTTGGGAAGAGAACCACCTTTTTCTATACTTGCTTGCATTTTTGCTTTAATGTCTTCTACAGAACTAGGTCCTTTCGGTGTTTTGGGCGTCTTTTCCTGTTTTTTGAAAGATTCTTGACATTTTGTTCTTGGTGTTGATGGTTTTGAGTCTTTTCCATTCTGGTTTTTGTGCATTTTTGGCTGGAGTATTTCATATAGATTTCTTTACTGGAGCCTTTTCTTCAGCTTCCTCATCATCAGAATCCTCATCGTCGTCATCGTCGTCGTCATCTTCATCATCATCTTCAACAGCAGCAAGTTTTACTTTTTTCTGTGGAACCTTGCTGCCACTTCAGGGGCAGAACGCTTTCCAGATATACTAAGGAGTTTCATGTCCTCTTCCTCTTCATCTTCTGACTCTGCATCTTCCTCCACAGCTACTAAGTGCTGTCCACTAATATGCACAGGCCCTAAACCACATTTCAACTGTAAGATCACAAGTGTTGTTATTTCAGAGCCCCCAAGAGGAACCATTGGCTGTACAGACATTTTCAAAGTTGCCAGTGTGACTTGGACTGCCTTAATTCATTGCCTCTGCTTCAACAATGTGCAATTCATCCTTTGCACCAGCTCTTAAACTGACCGTTCTTAAAGATAACTGGTGCTCATTTTCACCATTATCTACCTTAAAGTGATAATCCTTGTCAGCCTTTAGTTCACAACCGAAAAGATAGTTCTGGGGCGTCAGGGGGCTCATGTCCATGTCCATCGAGTCTTCCATGGGGTGGTGGCACGCACTTAGGTGGGAGAGAAGGCGGACGGAGATAAACGACTACTGTTGCACAGAACAGCCATGCAGGGCAGAATCACACCAGGCTAGTTGACAAAATCTTAATACTATTTTTTTAGATTTTTATCTTGACCTGTTCATATGCCCCAGAAAAGTTGATTTAGGTTCCTACCTGGTAAGTAGCAACTCTGCCATCAGTATCCTGAGGGCTGAGTAGGAGAAGAAGGCAGGAGCATCCCAGCCTTCATAGTGCATAGGTTAGTAATCCCCTTGTTTTGGGTACAGTATTTCCCATTCTCTGCTCTTTCTGAGATTCTTCATTCCAGAGGTATTGTTTTACTTTTCCAGATCATAAATCTCCATTCTGCCAAGATGAAGAAGGGTAGTCTTTTGGTAGCACAGAATGTGGGAGGGAAATCTGGGTACCTAAAATCTCTTCAACTTTCAAGCAGTCTTCTGTTCTGTGCCTCACCTTCACTGCATTTCTAGGGGAGTCTGGTACAACCCCTTCCTGAGCCCTTTGGCATTTCCATGAGAGAAATCAGGTGATTTCTGCCTTTCCCATTGGAGGCTTAAGATTCAGCTTTCTCAGGTCTTCTGAGTCCATTAGTTGTCCATCAGCTCTCCAGTATCCAGAATTTCATTGGTGTTGTTTCTTCTGGTTTTTGCCTTTGTGCATCTATGCCTTAGAAAAAAAAAATCTGTGTACTTTCATTTTAGAAAGATTTCAGAAGATAAGAGAAAAGGAAATACAGTTATTTAATCTGTTGTCTTTAACTGGAGCTCCCAAGGTTTCTTTTAGTAGATCTTTGATATTTTATTGAAATCCTTCCCATTTTTCACAGTTGAGATTAATTTTTATCTTATTATAAGCTGCATATAAAAACAAATCTGATCTGAAACAGTTATTTTGTTGAGGTGCTGTTCCTTTCTTTGCCTTTAACTCTTGGAAGTACAAACCCATTAATTTTTTTTCTTGATGAAAAATGGAGATCATTTTTGGCAATGGTACATTTCTCTGTGAACTGTGTTGAATGTTTTGGAATATTAACATCATGTATAATCATGCAGTGGAGCCTAAAGCTGAAGAAGTAAACAAGTGCACTGGTCGTGATGAGCACTGGGTGTTGTATGGAATTGTTGAGTCATTATATTGTACACCTGAAGCTAATATTACACTGTTAACTATGCTGGAATTTTAAAAAAAGAAGTAAACATAAATGAATCATGATTATTGTTCCTGTAACTCTCCTATTATGCCTTATAGAAAACCAAGATGGTTGTACAAAAGGGCAAGCCTTTAACTTAGTGGTGATTGTACACAGTCTATTGTGTTTTTTAAGGAAGCAGAACATATCACTACTTAGAAATCTTATTTTGTGTTTGTGTTCATTTTTTAGGTGACCCACAACACAACTGTGAATGGTAAAGATACAGTTCATCACTGGAGTTGGACCTCAGACATGCCCTTGGAGTGCGCCACTCATTCTGTGGGAATTAGATGCTATGTTGACGATCCTCATTTCTCTGGTCACACAGAGTGGAGTGACTGGAGCCCACTGAAGAATGTTTCTTGTAAGCTTACATTTAAAAAGCTTTCGATTCTCAAATGAATTAGATTAATCTTAAGGATAAGGTTTAGTGTAAGCTTTCAGTTCTCCAAATGCCATTTGGCTTCATGTGGGTCACCTGGGGATCTTCCAAGTCTCTGTCCCAGAACATTTTGATTCAAAAACTCTGAGATAGGATTCAGGAATCTGTATTTTTAAAGATCTTCTGAAGGGATTAGATAAACATCCAGGTTTGAAAATCACTGTGGTAGGCATTGAAGAACATTTAAAAATTTTATGTAGATGTTATTGAGATCAAGTCTATATTTAAAAAAAAAAAAATGGCTCCTAGTTTCTTGCCCACAGAGCAGATCCCTATGAGCTACAGAGAAATGGGAATCTGTAAGTATACCCCAAATCCCAAATCGTCTGTACGTTGAATGAAACTCATATGCAGGTAGAATGTTGGCAGCGTGAGAGAGGCCTGAAAATTGTTGACGGTGTAATGAAGTCCTTCAGAAGGCTGGTTATCATTGTAGATTATCCACTCTAGTGCCCACATGGAGAAATGGGTCAGAGGAAGGAAGGACTAGAAGCACGTAGATAAGTAATGGGGATCTTATTGCCATTCAACAAAAGACAGTGAAAGCGTAAAGTAGGGCACTTGGGTCTGGAAAGGAAAAGGGGCAAAAGGTATGAAAACACTGAAGAGACAGAATTAAAATTAGTGACTGTGCATTTGGTAACCAAGAAATAGAGCCAAAGGTGACTATAATAGTTTGGACAGCTGAGTACCTGGTGATGCTTTCCACCGAAACAGGAAATACATGAATGACTTAGGTGGGAAAGATAAATTCATTTTTAAAATGCTGAGCTTGAGGTACTTATGAAGTTTCCAGGTAGGGATGTCTCAGGCAGTTGGAAATACAAGTCTGGCATCCAAGGGACTACTAGGAGCTGGAGATGTACATTTGAGAGTCATCAACATACATGGGATAAGAAATTGTTTAAATCTAGAGGTTACTGTACTCAGGGAAAGAGAAACAGGGACCAGGGACACATGTCTTACAAGCTTGTATGTCTAAGGGTAGGATCGAAGAAAAAGAGCCAGCAGAGTGGAAGACAGTAGCCAGAGGGTTCAGAGTAGCCCAGGTGAGTAGGGTGGTGTAGAGAAGGGAGTTTTGAGAAGCTGGAGTTTAGGCAACATATCGGATGCTGTGGATGTTGAAGGCAAGGGTTACTGAGAAGTGGCCATTGGACTGAACAAATAGATCAGCGAGCCACTTTAGTAGAATGGTCGGGGTAGAAGCCAGATTGTGATAGATTAAAGACTTTTAGATAGAAAGGAAACTAGAGATAATTAAAAAGATTGGACATTTAGGAAAATAAAAGCAAAGCTGTGGCTTTAACCTGCAGAGAGTTGAGGTTAAGGAAAAAGTGCTCTTTAGGATGTGGAATACTTAAACATATATTCAGGCTGATGGAAAGTAAGAAGTCTGCCCTAAATACATAGAAATCATTTCAAAGGACTGGAATTGATGAGTGACTTTTTCTTGGTATGGATTTTTCACATATGGATATAAACCCATTTTGTTTGAACCTTCAGACTTCTTAGACATTAACCTGTGACCTTGGGCATTGGCCTGAAATCCCCTCCGCTCCCCCATTATCAGCCATAAGTAGATAAAACATACCTGGTTTTTATTTATTTCTTGTATATGTCTTGCTCTTTTGAAGGTCCTTTGGGCTGCCATTATTACAAAACACTTTATAGTATGTTTTATATACACTGGGCTATTTAATGGTAAAAGACTTCTAAAGTATTTGTAATTCCTTTTATTCTCTCTAGGGTCACCTGATTCTCAGACTAAGGTTTTTCCTCAAGACAAAGTGATACTTGTAGGCTCAGATATAACATTTTGTTGTGTGACTCAAGAAAAAGTGTTATCAGCACAGATTGGCCAAACAAATTGTCCCCTTATCCATCTTGATGGGGAAAATGTGGCAATCAAGATCCATAATATTTCTGTTTCTGCAAACAGCGGAACAAATGTGGTTTTCACAACGGAAGATAACATATTTGGGACAGTTATTTTCGCAGGATGTAAGTATATAATATTAAAGAGTACCTATTGATCTGTCTTGGGCCTCTTTAAAAGCTTTAATGCTATTTCCAGGGACATGGACAGTTCTATTTTTTTTTTTTTTTTAATATGAAGACACCAGAATTTTTGCTTGTTTTAAGATGAGTTCTAAGCTCGTTTTCTATATATTTGTATTTATATAACTTGTAGCTTTTGTAGTAAGATTTGAAACGTCCAGCTGCTTAGTTTTAAATTCTTAGTTAACAGTTTTGCTGAGTCAAGGGTAGTTTGTGTATAATATTTCTTGATCCTACATTGTTTAGGAATTATTTCATATACGTTTGACCCTTGAACAAAATAAGTTTCAATTGCATGGGTCTGCTTATACATGGATTTTTTTTTTTTAAGATTTATTTATTTATTTTAGAGAATGGGTGTACAAGAGGTGGGGGAGGGGCAGAGGGAGAGAATCTTCAAGCAGACTTCCTGCTGAGCGTGGAGCCTGACATGGGTCTCGATCTCACTATCCATGAGATCATGACCTGAGCCAAAACCAAGAGTCAGACGCTTAACTGAGCCACCCAGGCGCCCCTACATGGATTTTTTTCCAATAACTACAGTACAGTACTATAAATGCATTTTCTTTTATGATTTTCTTAACATTTTCTGTAGCTCACTTTATTGTAAGAATATAATACATTATAACATACAAAATAATATGTGTTAATCAGTTGTCTATGTTATAGGTAAGGCTTCCAGTCAACCGTAAACTAACTAGTAGTTAAATTTTGGGAGAGTCAAAAGCTTATGTAGATTTTTTTTAAGTTTATTTGTTTTAGTAATCTCTACACCCAGCGTGGACCTCAGACTCAAGACCCTGAGGTCAGGAGTTGCAGGCTCTTCTAACTGAGCTAAACAGGTGCCCTGTATGTAGATTTCTGACGGCATGCAACGTCAGTGCCCCTGAGCCCTGTGTTCGAGGGCCTACTCACGGTCAATTTCCCACCTAAAATACACCTCTTAAAATTAAAATTTTAAAACATCCCACCTAATATAAACATACATGTCTTTTTAAAAGTAAAATTTAAAAACATACCTTTTAAAACATCCCCCAATTAGAGAAACCGTAATGATTTTTACACAAAATCTTTTGACAGCATAACATGTGCTTCTCTAGCTTTTAAAGGAGTATATCTGAGAAGAAGAGGGTCGCTGGAGGACAGGCTCGGAGAGGGTCCCTCTCTCACTGTGTCCTCTCTGTAACAGAGGCTTCATAGTACAAGGGCTTCTTTATTAACATGGTCATTCCCGCAGTTCTAAAATTCCACATTTCCGAAAGTTGTCGTGAGGGACTGCCCTGTTTATGTAGCTTGTGTTTAATGTCCACAGGGACTTTTGTGTTTGGAGTGTTTCTGTCCCCTCTCATGTGGTAACTGCCATGTGGTGCGCGGATGGCTTTGCCCCCAGCAGCGCTGCTTCCCTTCCTCCCCAGCATTCAGAATCAGAGGCTGAGTTTGGTCTAAAGGGTCTTATGATCAAAGGGTGGGGAATGTACTGAGTGGGTTTTGTGATTTTTCTTTGGATCGTGTGGTGATTTTTCTTACCCTTTTCTGGATTCTCAGCTGTGCTCTAGACCAGCAGCTCTCCACCTCTTTTTTCCTTCCAGTGAAACTTAGGATGAATTATGTTGCATTGCTCATATATTCCCAAGGGAATAACCAGGATTAGATGCACTTCTGTTGGATGGCTGTAACCTTACTCTCTTTTTGTCTTCCCAGTAATGCATTTTGGAATTCAAGTGAGAGAGAGATAATGTTCAAATTTAAACTTTAGAAAATTTCTTTCCTAATGGAATTTTAGGGAAGGACTTGCAACATTCCTCACAAATGACCATGGTGTATAAGTTAAAAACCAGTGGTATATGGAGGGAGGCTACCTTATGATAAATGATACCAAAAAGTGAGATATCCACTTAAAAGTATGAAAAAGAAAAATTAAAAATCAGAAGATGAGACTATTCATTAGGTTTTTATTATTTCCAATAGTGTCCTGCTCTTTTTTTTTTTTTAAAGATTTTATTTATTTATTTGACAGAGAGAGACACAGCAAGAGAGGGAACACAAGCAGCGGGAATGGGAGAGGGAGAAGCAGGCTTCCCGCAGAGGAGGGAGCCTGATGCGGGGCTCGATCCCAGGACCCCGGGATCATGACCTGAGCCAGAGGCAGACACTTAACGACTGAGCCACCCAGGCACCCCAGTGTTCTACTCTTCTATCATAATAGTAGAACAAGCCCATTTAATTCATAATTTAACCTTCACTTATAGCATTTGGGGTTGAACTCTTCAATATTTGTTAACTCAGAAGCAGTGATAGTATTTTCCTTCAGAGGAATTTCTTTAGGAACTTAACAGGAAGGGCAGTTTATGGTGTGAGTTAGGGATTAAGATTCATTATTTTCTCTCCTTTATGGATATCCTGTTAACCCACCATATATTGAAAAGACACAATCAAAACCTGCCAGGATTTTGATTTGAGTTACATTAGATTTATTAATTTAGGAGACCACTTTAGGAGAACTTTCATTCTCACTATACTGAGTTATCCAAACCAGGAATATGTATTTATTTTCATTTAGTTAGGTCTTCTTTGATTTATTTTAGTGATAGGAGGTCTTATATATCTTTTAGTAAGTTAATTCCTAAGAGTTTGATGTTTGGTCCTAGTAAAAGTGGCTTTTTTTCCTCTTCAGTTTATTATTGTAATTGCAAATACATTTATTATCCAACAGATAGGATATTCACCAGTATTTTTCAGTGTTTATGCATGAGCTAATTTAGTTATAAGCAAAATATTTTATAAACACTATGCATTCAATGATCGCTCAGAGTTATTTTCATAGATAGTGCCACTTCAGCATTAAAAATTGACTTATTAATCTTTTAGCATACTCAAGAATTTTAAAATACTACATTGTGACATAGAATTAGAGTGTGTAAATATTATATGTCACATGTCAAATTTCATACTTTCTCATTTGAAAATATTTTCATAAAAATGGCTTTGTTTTTTAAATTGCATTTTCTGTTTGCTGGTAATACAGTTGATTTATACCTAGTTTTCATCCAGCTTCAGCTGATCCCTTGGTAAGTTAATTTCTTTGAGAAGGCAGTCAGTACATTACCTTTCAAATACTGCCTTCTCGTATTTTTTCCTCCCTCCATCTTTGCTTCCACTTCTTTCTAATTTGCTTCTGTTATTTGGATTTTAGCTATTTCACCTTAACATTAATCTGCCAAATACTAAAATAATCGGCATTTTAAGTATACCCAAAAATTTGGTATGTCATTTTAATAAAATGACTGAAAGTTTAGCCTTAGATTTAAAACTATTTTCAAAACAAATATATCAGTGTTATCTGATTATGCAGTTGTTAGACTTTAAAAACTCATGACTTCCCTTAATATTACCTAAAATATCATTGACGGACATTATTCTACTTCAGGAAGGTATGTGAAATTCTCTATTGTCCTTCTAAGTCTCTGAAACAGTCAAAGAACTGTCTTTAAAGATTAGTTCTTAAAAAATAAAATTATTTTACAGAATTTGCAACAAGTAGGTAATTGCTTTTTAAAAACTTAGTGAAAGATAATTTGGTAGATAAGGTAAATATGACAGAGAACACCAGTTTCTGTGT